AAAAAAAAAAAAAAAAGGAAAAGGAAAAAGTTCTTAACAGTACAGCTCTAATCTTAAATCTTAGTCATGCCTCTCAATCTGATTTGCCCAACTAAAAAACTGAATACTGGGCTATCTAGAAAAGATAAACTTAAAAATTGTCTTCTGAGACTTCATTTTGGAAAAGATTTAGATAGCTGTTCCATTTATCTCTAGAAAAGATGTTTCAGCTTCTATTTTCTTCCTCATATTATACTATTAGATTCACTCTAATTTTTGAAAATTAGGTTTATTTTAGTCTGTCCTCTAGTCATTAGATCATATTTTTTGGATACGTAATTATTTAGGTGTTGGAATACCAACTTTTGATTTTTTTTTAATTTATTTTTGGAGACAGGATCTCACTATGTAGCTCAGGCTGGCTTTTAATTCACTACATAGCCCAGGTTGGCCCTGAACTCACAGCAATCCTCCCACTTCAGCCTCTTCAGTGCTGACATCACAGGCATGTACCACCACACCCAGCTTGAGACCTCTGAAAAATAATCACATTGTTTATGACCATCTTTTTAAACATGAATAGCACCTTAGGCACTTACGCTATATCATTACTGCCCAAGAAGGAAACAAGGCAGAGAAACAAGGAGAGGCAAAAGCCTTTAGACAATAGCTTGAGGGTAACAGCACCAGAGAAGTGAAGGAAAAAAAAAAAAGTTACCACCCTGGGTTACATGCTGAATTTTAAGAGGTGAGTTGTGTGATGTGGAAGGCCTAAACTCAGATGTGCCTGCCATAGCAGAATGCCCAAGAACTGAACTCTAGTCCAACACCTAGAAGAAAAGAATGGTAAGGAGCTACAAAATAAAAACTAGATAATCAAGTTGGTTACTCTCAGTGAAGGAGAGCCTCAGGATCCCAGCTCAGCCCCAATGATCGTCTCTCTACAGTAGAGTGGGTCACGGAAGGATTGAGTGGACAAAGAAGGGCTCCAGGTCACAGTCGAAGTCTTTGAAGGCTATGGACTCCAATGGACTGGGCTGGGTATCTTGTGTCTCCATGACAAAGCTCACTGGCTGCTTCTGTAGAAGTTCTGGGTCAAAGGCCACACCCCGAAAGAAAGGGTGGACTTGGAAATGATGTAGATAACGTAGACGGTGGAGGGGGTTCTGGCATAAGAGCTGAAGGGAAATAGAATATGAAGGATGAGAAAGTGAAATAGGAAAGAGGCTAAAGAAACAAACAGAAAAAAAAAAAAAAAAAGGAAAGAAAAAAGTGCATGGAGCTGGTGAGGGCCAGAAAAAGGAGCCTCAAGAGTAAAATATTTGTAAAAGGGGGAGAAACAGGATAACTTGAGGCAAAAGTGGAAATAAAGGCGCCATGTAAGTGTTCTAGTTTTGCAGCACTGGTCCACTCTCTCAGAAAAGACCTGTATCTTCTGCGTGAGGAGCAGATTTGTGAGACCCACAACTCAGGAATTTAATCCAAAGTACTGGTTAGAAGGCAACAGGTAGTTGACCTGGAGCACCCTACAAATATCCCCCCTCTAAAAAATTAAGCAGAGGAATAGGGAAATATCACTTCAATGATAAAACAGTTTGGCAGCCAAGAAGGAAAGTAGTGCTCACCCTTACCTCCTGAAGTAGAAGTGATAACTCCTTTTTAAGAGAAGTTGGGATCTCAGAGTCACAGTGTGTTACACTTGCCAACATGGCCACATGATCTCTCTCTGCGGCCACTGGGAACTAAGTAAAGAGGGTAAGAATAAGATGAGATTTCCTAACATCTTCCTTCTCACCACAGGACAAAGCTCTCTAGCTAACAGCATTAATATTTTCTTACCTTTCCAGTTGCCAGAGAGAAAAGCAAGACACCTAGGGACCACCAGTCAGCAGCATGGTTGTAAGGGCCACCACTCAAGACCTCTGGGGCTATAGATTTGAAAGATCCTTGTCACTGACATCCTTTGGCTATCCTCCAACCCAGTGTATACCCACCAATATTAGCTACTCTCTCACCCATGTATTGAAGAGTGCCACAGATAGTATAGGCTCGGGCTCCCCGGGGCAGATGGCGTGACAAACCAAAGTCTGTCAGTTTCAGATGGCCTGTGAAAGATAAGACAATGGTACCACTCTGTTCCACCAGTTATCAGCCATGCTTTATTCCCAAACTGAGGCACCACTCATTCTGGTGCTAGAAAAGGAGATTTACCTCGTTCATCCAGAAGAATATTCTCCATCTGAAATATGACAGGTAAAAAGTTATTTTCTTCTACTTATTTTCAACTGTCTTTCACTGTGTGTTACCCCCAGCTGAAGGTTTCCTATGCAGCATTCAAATCTATACTTTGAGGGCCTTTACCTACCCCACAGAGGCAGATCAACTGTCCTCAGCTCCCCCCTGCCTTCTTGGACCTATCAGAACTTGTTATTGAGGCTCCTCCTCAGATTAAGGGAAAAAGCACTTTACCTTCACATCTCGATGGATGATGGCCAAGTCATGGAGATAGCCTGGGGGTAACAGCAACAAGAAATATACTAAAGCTGTTCTCTCCTTTCCAGATTCCCTGGTAGCTACTATCCCACCCCTAACCCTATTCTATGACTTCCAGAGTTACTATCAATTCTCTTCTATTCTCCCCACCAACTTAAATCTTCCCTTCTAATTTCCTATACTACCTTTGACTTACACAGCACAAGGACCAGTTCAGCTGCAAAGAGACGGACAGAAGCCTCAGGAAAGCAGCCAACAGCAGACCACAGGGAGTACAGATCTGTGCTGCAGTAGCTACACACTGCAAAACACCAGAAGTATAGGCAATGTGTGGGGACAATGCTTGGGTTCAAGGCATAATAAGCCTCCTGTCCAAAATGATGCCACTTCCTTTTCCCTCTCCCTTTGGGATGGAGCAGTGCTATGAGAAGGGGAACAGAGCAAAGGCAGACTAAGCCCAGAATTATATAATCTTAGGTCAAGAGAATGGTAAATGGACCCCTGTGTAAGCAGAGAAAGACTATGGGGCCGGGGAGATAGCTCAGTGGAATAAGTGCTCACCTAGCAAGTGCAAGGTCCTGAGTTTGATCCCTGGTACCACCAAAAAAAAAAAAAAAAAAAAAGAAAAAAAAAAAAAAAAAAAAAAAGAAAGAAAGAAAGAAAAAGACCAGTTACTTACTAATAAAGAGGTGCCGTCTTCCCTGCCAGGTGTCTCCCAGGCTATGTACAAAAGGATGGTTGATTTGTCGCTATGGACAAAGAAAACAAGTTAGAACAGGATAAGGAGGAAGGATAAGGCAGTAAAGAAACTCAGGCTTTACCTAATTGTGAAGAAATGGAGCTGGTGCTTCAGCTCTTGGATTCACAAGAACTCACTAACTGCTACTGTCTGCCCGGTCATCTTGGTATCAGCTTATTACTAACACACTGGGATATGTGTTGGAGAGATTTCCCTGGGACAACCTGGAATAACTACTGATAATTAGTAGCAACTTTTCTAATTCTTTCCACCATCCTTTCCAAACTCTGTGCATACCTGGATGCTAACTTCTTCTTTGCACTGCCTCAGTGTATCCTTCTGTAGGACTTTTACCTTGGATACCACCTATAAAATAAGAGGAACAATGACTCAGAGAAGAATAGTGCCACTGAGTTGTTTATTCCTCCTAACTTCTCAGGTGTTCTCTTGGAAGCAGGAACTAGAGAGTAATATAGATGAGTACAAGACTCTTACCTTCACTGCAAATACTGCTTTCTGGGCACAATCTAGCACCTTCAGGACAGTTCCAAAAGACCCTTTAGCCACCAGGCCTAAAATCTATATTGAAAAATGGAGAACAGGGCAATTAAAACTGGCTGTTCTAGGTTTTTTCCAAAGAAAGAACCCTCCCAGGGATTCCATTAACCTACCTTCAGTTGCTGCTGCCCCCTAATGGGCCTTATGGGAAACTCTGGTAGGAAGAGTTCGATGAACTGAGGTACAGGCCACTCAGACAAAGGCTTCTCTATGGTCTCCTGGTGTAGGCACTGATGCCCCTGTAGTTCCAAGAGCTCTTCCAGACCCGACCTCATGGTCCCCACACCTGACCAGAGGCTCTTCCAGCCTCGGACCCAGGGGACCTGGATGTTGCCACCCTGAGAAGCAAGGGAGCCACTCTAAACCTAGCCCTGAAGCATTGCTGGTTATACCCATCTTTCTAGGTACTTCCTCCCCTCATGTCTCAACTACTGAAGGTGCATTTCTGAATACCAGGCCTCATTCCCACTGGCCTTCCTTTGTTGCAAGACCTGGATTTCCTGGACATAATCCAAATCCTCTAGGAAAGCATTAAATGCTTTCTCCATAATGTACCAAAAATACCTCAGAATAGTGTTGCAGTGGTTTCAAATTATATGCTCTCTGGTGTACCCCTGCCACACACACACTTATTACTGATTGTTCCTTACCAGTTACTTCCTAAGCCCCAGGCTCATGTTTCCTTTACTTTCCCTCAACAGGCTGCTACAGCCCCATAGCCTACCTTATGAGAAGCAGCCACCCGGGTTTGTTGCCCCTGCCGACAGCTCACTCCTCCCATCCCGAGCTTCTCTGCCTCCTGTGCTTCCACTAAATCTGCTGTCCTAGTTACATAAGTGATTCCTCTCCCTGGTGCTGCACTGTACATAAGCCCCACCTCTTCCAATGTGCACAGACCCATCAGCTTTGGGCCAATGCCTTATTAGGGCTAGACAGTCTCTGTGATACAGTTTTAAGGCAAGGGAAGAAGCTACCCTCATTAAGAATTACAGTAGCAGTTACAGGATATGTGGAGTTGCTGGGGTCAGGAAGGTTGAATGCATGTACTCAAGTTAAAAAAAAAAAAAAAACAATGTCAAATTTAAAATATTTTTTTTCTTTAAATTTTTTTTTTCCATTGTCCAGGGCACACCCCAGGGGGAAGAGTAGGGGACCCATGGCCAGCCCTGGTTCCTATTGCCATCCTCCCAAGTAGGCATATAGACTGGGAAAAAGCTGATTCCCCTGAACAATAAACTTTCATACAAGGCAGTGGAGTGAAGGACAGAGGATCATTCCTCTTCCCTCAGTTTCCTGGCACAAAGGAAGAACAGTTACACTTACAAATATATATATATATATATATATGTATGTATGTATATGTTTTATATATATATATTTATAAAAATTAATCACACTTGATCAGAACTATTCCCCACCCTTTCAGCTCATCCCAAGGGAAGAGGATCCCAAGGCCCTGAGCCCATTACCTGGGTCTTGCTCTCACTGCCTCTCTGACCCTGGGCCTGTTCAGCACAAGATGGAACTCAGCATTAACTGTCCACCATGCTTCACAGGGAATAAGGCCACTGTTGCTCCACATTACCTGTGGACCACCCTCCCAATCCTAGTAAGATAGAATGGGAAGATGCCCCTCCCACTCCACAAGTCCCAGGGGCCTGAGCCAGAGTCAGATCCTGTATTGCAGCCATTCAAATTGCCAGATCACTTGCGCCTGCCAAAGATGGACTTCTTGCCAGGGTTCTTGTCACCCACACTTAAACCGATGAGAAGTCGAGCTTTCTCCTCTTCTTCTTGCTGTTGCATGCTGAGGTCTGATTTAGCTTCTAGCTTTCCCCGGACCTCAGAACCTACTGCAGGCTTCAGCCTTAGCTTTTCTTTGATTACCTGGCAGGATGGAACAGAAAACAAGGAAAACTATTAGTGGGGCAGGCAGAGCATGTAAAAGCCAAGTCAACGAAGATTTACTAAACTTGCATGCAAAGTACAATGGGATAATTCAAATTATGAAATGGTCTCTGCTTTTAAGAAGCTTACAGTCTAATAAAAAACCTCTTCTAAATTTGAGGTGGTAGCACCCCTAATTAGTTCCCTAAAGTTAGTGGTAGTAAATGTACAAGAAACATTAGTAAATATTCAATTTAGTAATCTGGGAGTTGTGGAGAAGGCAGGGAACAGAAGTCACTCACTTCATTTACCTGCCCCTTCCCACGGCTATCTGTTAATATTTCCTAGAACACAAGGCTCTCCTGAGCAAAGGATCTGCTTGCCAGCCCTTGCTAACCAAACAGCCATGAGCTCTGGCGGGATACCTGGGCAACCAGGGCTTTGCGACTGTCTCTTTTGACAGCCATAGCAAAGTCCAGCCATGTCCATGTGTTATTGTGATACTCCAAACATGGCAGCACCAAATTAAGGTCACCCCAGTCCACACTGTTCTTTTCACCCTGTAAGGGAGGGAGGGGAGAGAAGAGGGGGAAAAATACGTTAATTCTCACTTGGATCCTAAACCAGTACCCAAACATAAAGGCTTGCAACAGCAACCTATACTAATTTCCCCTTAACTCATCTAGTAATGGGTCACTACTCCAGAAAGCAGAAGGGACAGCAGATTTGTCACCCATAGCACAGCTTTACAAGAAGTCTGGCTGTCTCCCTGGTTATAACCTCTGCTGATCTTACCTAGTTCCCTTCCCACCCTGTCCTAGAAAATAGGGGGAGGGGAGTTGCAGACCTTATAGCTGACACACAGTGGAACCTGTGGAATCTTTATGTAGATGAAGGAGTTGTTCATGGCAGCTCGCTCTTTCATCTTGTCAATATCATCCACAGGGTGCTGGAAGGCATACAAGTAGCATGAGCTCCTGAAACTATTCAGAGAAATGCAGCTTAGTGACCCCTCCTTTCAACTGTAGAGTATACTCAAAGAAAATGGAAATTGCAGCTAGGCCCAACCTAAAAAATTCTCCCATTTTTGTTAGCAGAAGCAACTGGAATGAATACCTCAGGTGATTTGCGAAATGACTTTCTGACTGCAGAACTTCGAGTCAAGCCCTGTGCAACACCCTTCCCTGGGCCCAGCTGTACAGCATCATCTGTTGTAATCAGCTGCCGAGGCTTTACCACTGGTATTCCTATGAGAAAGCAAGAGTACCAACTATTACCCTCTTTCTAAAGATATAGTTGTTTCTGGGGCTGCCACCCCATCTTCTGGTACCCCATCAGAAAATTTCTCACCAGTAGTTACCAGTTTGGACTTATCTTCTTCATCACCGACTTCATCATCTTCCATACTTCGGCCAGGGAAAAAAAAACCCATCATTCTATGGAAGAACTGGTGTGTCAGTTGGATGGTGAGAGGCACCACATTTACCTAATTGTGGAAAAGGATGCAGAAGAGAAACAATTATGTTCAGACACTATGTCTCAATTTTCTACTCCTATTTGGCATTTACATATAGCTAGTTTTGGAAACTAGCCCTTTGTTCCTGGGTTCCCGAGGGACTATTTACTAACCTCAAAATGTTCCTTAACAGAGATACCCCCAACAGGGGGCCGGACTTTGCTGAAGAGGCGAAGGGCTAGCTGTCGCCCAGACTGGCAGGAGCTTTGGGGCCGAAGAACTACCTGTAGGATACAGTGAGTAAGCCCACCAAATGCTCTCTATATCATACAAACAACCCACAAATCAAGTGGGCAACTTTATCTCAGATCACATTTCCTGTAGTATGCTTACATGGAAGGGCCATTTTTAAATATGTGCTAAGAAGCACAGAAATGAGAAAAGACGTGCCTCACAGGATTGAGGGTGGAGCTTAGTATGTAGAGTACTCATAGAGCATGCACAATGACCTGGATTCAATCCCCACCACCACAAAAAGCAAAAACAAAGAGCGGAAGTGGGAGAAAGGACTTGCCTTATACACAGCATTGGGGAGGAGGTTGTTCATAGTAAACCAGCCCAACTCCAGAAGATGTTCTGCTGTGTCATCAGATTTATTCACCTGTAAAGACAGATTTTGCTCTGCCCACATCCACTCTAATAAGCATGTTCGGAAGACTGCCAGACATTTGCTACATATCTTATTTGTTTTCTGTTTCACTATATGCTAATCATAACCTCTGACATCTCTCTTAATCTCATACAATCATCATACCCTCTATCCCAAGGTTTCTCATGGGTACTACTGGCCGAGGCACTAAATACTAGTAATAACTTTATTTATTGTGACATTAAAAATGTCCTCCATTATCAGTGGGTAGCAGGAAAGCTGAGTGTAAGGATTAAAACGGCTCTATTCTAAGGTAGACATGGAAAATTACTTCCCTCTGGGAATTACTTCTAGGAATAATCTTAATGCAAGAAACATTTAATCAAACTCATCTATTCATAGTTCAATATTACAATATTATATCTAAGGGAGTTCTAATATTTCTAATCATGACAACTAATAATTAGGTTTTATATCTAGATGTCCCATGAGCCTGATGTGCTGACAGGCTGGGCTTTTGGAAGGTGACTAGATTATAGGGACACTACAGATGACACACTGTTTGAAGGCCTAGTAAAGGACAGGAAGGTCAGTGAGGTCAGTGGGGTCAGTGACCTGGAAGGGTATATCTCTCCCTCCATATTTTGTCCATCATTCTGTTTCCAGGCCACCATCAGATGAGAAGCACACTAGACAGACCCTTCTAACTTGAAGTTTCTATATTTGGGCTTGTTGAACATGGACTGAAACTTCTAAAACACAAGCCATAACAAACTTCTATTCCTTTAAGTTATTGTTGTGTACTGTCTCCCAATAACAAGAAAGTGCAAAAGACAGTATCATGTAATAATTAGCCCTTTTTTCCTCTTTGTGAATTGGATTCCTGAGATAGGTCATGTCCCAATATAGCAGTTTTTGTGCAACTATCCCAGATACCTTGCTATAAAGAAACCTTTGCAGTTCCAGTTCAGCAATTCCCAGCTGTCCGTCTTCCTCTGTCAGGCGCCAACGAGCCTGAGCAAAGTAAAATTCAGTGCGACGGACCACACTCACATCTTCTTGCTGCTTCCGCAGCTCCATCTTGTTAGCCCGCTGCAGTTGGAAATCCTTAAAACACCTATAAGTTGATAGGACAGCCAAAACCAATTTAAAAAAAGCACATAAATTAGAAGTAAGATGAGATGTTCTAGAATGAAGATGGCAAATTTAGGGATGAACCTATTCTATTTTTTTTTTTTTCAATTTATTGTCTAATTGTATGGGAATACAACTTTCTTGCTTCTTATAAAATAGTCTCTTATTAATAACCCCTATTTGTGTATCTGCATTTGTGTTTGTTCCTTCCTGACCAGCTTCCAGATACTGTCTGTTCAGATGGGTAAGGCCATAACTGATGTTTCCCTAATCCATTTTTCTTCTCAGAGCCTTTCCCAGAAGTACTCTTAATAAGGACTCAGAGGAAGGATTCTCCTGTTATTGACCCCTTTGGCCAATGTGAGCTGGGCAAGCATGATGACAAACAAATGTAATCTGAGAACTTGGGATGCTGAGGTAGAATGGTCCTTTAAGACTAGCCTGAACCACAGAGCAAAAACCTTATTCAAGCCTAAATCTGTTCCTCAGGGTTGCTTTTGATAAGGCACACTAGACACGGGGACTGTCAGAACATGGACAAGGAATAAAAACCAACTCTGGGAGGGGCAATGGAAAATGGAGAAAGATCATCGAGGGACCTGATGAGAATATTGAGTTCTTCACTTTCCAGCTGCAGGTTGGCTTTCTCTTGGTTTAACTGCAACTGAAGTTTTTGGTTCAGGTCAAGCAGGTTTTCACTCTTGCTGTCATCCTGTAAAGACTAAGGAACCAGGGAAAATTAAAAGGAAATTTCCCTATCATAAGAGACTTCCCGGGGCTGGGGAGATGGCTCAGTAGAATAAGTGCTTCCCTGGCAAGCGTAAGGGTCTGAGTTCTATCCCCAGTTCCACCAAAAAAAAAAAAAAAAAAAAAAGGAGACTTCCCTGTCATCAGATTCCCTGGGGTGACTAC